TTTCGGTCTGCCGATAACGCTAAACGTTATTCACAGAGCTGTGTGATGTGTGGATAACGCTTCCCTTTTGAAAATCTAAAATATCTTCTGATATAAAACGTTGTTCGAACCTTGAATATTTGTTAAGTTTTCGTTAAAATGTATAAGGTTTCCCATCTAATATTTACCATTCACAGTGGTAGTACTAGTACTAGTGGTAGTCAAACCAATCTAACTCTTGACTCAATGATGAGTTGTCTGGCGGTGCACATCTTTTTGCAGAACTTAATTCTCATTTTTCATTGACAAGATTGACCTCTGTACACTTATTTCAGTTTAATTTATTACACAATTATTATTATTAAGAATTTGACTTGTAACTGCAAGTTTTTGAAACAACCATATGTCGAATGGTAAGATCGTTTGTTGATTGAAAAATTCTGAAACACCGCCAAAAAAGGGAAGTTATTAAAAGTGCTCCAACAGTTGAAACCGGGATAAATTACTTCCCCCTAAATAATTTAAAGACGTAGAGTAAATCTATTATCCAAACTAACAGTGATCCGGGTTTAATCGGAAGTAAAACCTATGTTTGGGATCACTGAATGCTCCCACGGAAAGGTTGCAAGAACTTTGTGCATATAATTCAATATAGTCAGTGACTTAGGTCACATTTTTGTTGGTTGGCAAAAATTGTGGCACTAACCCTTGTTACGTGACTAAATATTATTGAATTTATTGTCATGAGTCATAGAATTAGAGCAACAGACAGCGGAAAATCCAAGGGAGAGGTTGGTAGTTTATGTAGACAAAAACTACTATAACATAGACAACAGTGCAGTTTAACACGTGGTTTGTACACCCGACATCATCACTATATTATCTACCGAGGGTCTTCACCCAGGTCTGCATTGTCTTCATGTACATCCCATCTAAAGCTAACAAGGACAATGAGCCGGCTATTGGCAGACTATTGGACATAATCCTGCTTTGGGGGACTTCAATCACTAGTCATTGAATAAATCCATGTCAACATTTACATGACAGTTCGTCTGTCGAGGTCGACTATGACCATTCTAAACATTCTGTATAGCCTACTGAAAAAGAATTTTAAAATGTATTTGTTAAGAGTAGCCAATACAAATTCACAAAAGCTTTTAAAAAATACTGATGGGAAAAAATATTAAGATAAAAAAA